TATATATATATATGTTACACTGTTCTTTGATTACAATTTTTTAATCAAATAAAAAATTATTTATTTAATAAAAAATTTATTTTATACTATATAATAATGTTAAGCAATTAAAAGAAGATCAAGGACATATAAAACAAATTAAAAAAACTTATTTAAAATCATTAAATAAAAGAACATTAGAAATTATTTAACAAGAATATCAAATTATTTAAAAAAGCTTAGTTTATATTGTTGTATTTACAAATTGTCAAATCTGACTTTTAAAAATTAAATGTACATTTTGCATTCCAATATCTATATCCATTGGGAATTAATTTAATACAATATCTATTTTTATTTATTCTAAATATACCATCCTAAAACATGTCTATTTTTATCTGTCTATAGTTTAAAAGTTTTTATTTCTTAAAAAGATATATATTAATACATTCCCATTTTCTTAAATTAAATGAAATATTAACAACAATTAAAATTTATGTAATTTCCTCTTTTTTTTAATTTCATCAACAATTAGAAAAATTTAAGGGGTATATAAAGATTCTATACAATTCACTTCTTTCCTAACCCAATTTAAATGTCATGCATGTACGTCGAGAATAGTTTAATGTTTATATGAATTATTTCTATTTTGATTCGAAAAGCATATTTTACTGCATCTATAAATAAAAATTTTTTGTATGAAAGTAGACTCGAGAAAAAAAAAACTCGATGAAATTTCTCTAGTGCTCATTTTTCATTAAGAACAAAAAAATTTCCACAATACTTCGAAACACTTTCAATTTTAAGAGATATACACGAGTTTCTTCGCAAACAACAAGGTATTTATGCAATGATCGATATTGTTTTGTGATTTCATAAAATTCTCTTTTAAATTTGATTTGCTGTATTATTTGAATTTGTGCTTGCAAATTTTGGCTATAATTTTTGAAGTGTTTTATGAAAGGTTTTATATTTTTTATTTGTGATTTTGAGTTCTGAGGGTTTCTCCATCTACACTCGGTGTAAAGGAGATTTTTTTTAATTAGACTGTGGAATCCTAGTACACGAGTTTAGCCTGGAGTATATGTAAGCAGGGAGCGAATCAGTTAAAAATAGTCTTATGTTCTTTATTTTTATGCATGTTCATTTCATTTTTTTTTTCATATCATAACTCGTTCAAGAATATTCAATTTTTAAAATCACTATCCAAAATTGAATGTTAAAAACTTTTAATACATCAATTCATCCCGCTCTTAGTGTGTCATAATCTTCAATGTCAACAGCTTTAACTCTCATTCTAGCTCTTGAAAATTTAGCTTGAAATTAATTAACTGCTTTATTAGGTGATCATATCACAATCCTAATGGTGCATTGTTGTAGTGTTGATGCAATGTTGCAACACTCGATTAGGTGGTAGCACTATGGTGCTGAGCTCTTTATCTTCTTGCTTCAACATTAATCCACTATTGTATTTTGGCACTTTGCAGGTTAGCATTGTTGCACTACATGATAGCATTGTGGCACTTTACACTATCAGCAAGCCTCCTTATTTTCAAGAATAGTATTCGAAATTTTCCCATTATGGCACCATAACATGGGTAATGGTGCTACGGTGCTAGTACTTTGGCTTAACAATGTCTTCAATCTTTTTCTCCTAAAAGCTTTTCTATACAAAACACATGGCTGTAATAACATAACATTAATATAAGTATTGCTTGATATAGGTAGTACCATTACCCTTAATGAATTGGTGTATTATCAGTTGCTTAATGAAGACATTGTGAAGCCAAAGTACTAGAAATACTTCTATAAGTATATTAAGCCAAAGTACTAGCATTGTAGCACAATTACCCTTAGTTGGCTAGTAATAATTCTCCTATTAGTTGCTAGTACTTATATTAATACTATTTTATTATATTACTACTTAGTGATCTTAGTGTATGATTGACTCAAATTCAATTAATTCATAAGTAATCATAAAATATTGACTCAAATATATCACATAAGTTCAATTATAATTTTCTCATTTTAAATTTAAGACTTTCAAATTTAATAATTTTAGACAACCTCATGTTCCTCCTTTTATATCCGTGTGTTTATATATAGAGAGAGAGAGAGAGAGAGAGAGAGAGAGAGAGAGAGAGAGAGAGAGAGAGAGAGAGCTTTTTGAGCTTTTTTACAATGTTATTTTCTTTCTTTTTAAGGATTTCTATATTACTTAAGCCTTATTTAATATTTTTGAATACCTTTCATTAATTATTTAGAATAATTATTCACTTATCAATATTTATATAACGTTTTATAAATTAAAAAATTAATAATCTTTTTTAAGTTTAATGTCTCAATCTCTGTTAAATTTTAAAATTACTCATGTAAAAAAAGTAAATTGAAGTCAATTATTTTTAAGTTTTAATTATGTTACAAAATTTATTACTATTTGTAATTATTTGGTTATTATTAAGTTAGTGTGAAATTTATTAGATTAGAGGTTGTTTGGGATCACTTTTAATTTTATTAAATTTATTTATGTTTTTATTTAAAATCAATGAACATCTTAGCCCATTCATCGCATTCATGGTATTGTGGGACTTGTGCAGCATTATAATGCTTAGGTGGCAACACTATAGTGTTGAGTTCTCTGTCTTCTTGTGTCAAATTCAATCCATAGTTGTGCTATAACCTTCTGAAACTTAGTATTGTGGTTCTACATGAGTACTGTGCCACTCAAGAATGGTGTTGCAGAACCTTGCTCTCTAGAAACATCTAGGTAAAATTCCTAAAATGGCATTTAGAAATTTTTAGTATAACATAACAACTTAGATCTTGAAAAGTTAAAGACTTTTATGAAAGTTTATAAGCATATTGCTTTTTAGAGAACCTGAAAAAGCTTAGGAGCAAATGCAAGGTTAATTGTCCTTCATGGTTGACTTATTTATACTTTAGATAAATTATTTCTTAATATTAGATAAGAAATAAATAATTTAAAATTAATTAAACAAATTTATTGAAAAAGATAAACTACTCCTCAAATAGGTCAACACAATAGCAATTTTTTGGTTTACAATGCATCAAATAACTTAAATTTTTAGTTCCCTTAAATAAAAATAAAAACTTTGTAGTTTTACAAACAATGCTTAATTACATTATGTATGTATTATAATTTTATATCCAGAGTTTTGAATCATTTTTTTTTTTTTTTTGCACAAAGTGCATATATATCTATATATATTTCCTGTATATAGGGATGTAAACGAGCTATGCTTGAGCGAGCTTAGGCTTGGCTCGTGTTTGGCTCGATTTATATATTTCTGTTCGTGTTCAGTTCATGTTCGGCTCAACACTGGCTCGTTAAAATTAATTTAAAAAAAATAGATGTTAGATTAGAACCTGAACCAAATATATAGAAAAAAATGCACATAACCACATTACCACAAAAATTATTGTGATATATACTAAATTCATTTCTTA